TTTTCGAACTTGATCTGCGTTTTAGTAAGATTGATTACTCCTGTGAGTTTCATGACAACAGGCCTATCAGTTTTCCTTGAAATGTGTGAACAGTGTTGCATATATGCTGAAAAGTGAAAAAACAGCATAAATTCTACAATAATGGCCCGATCATGCTGATTTTCGAACTTGACCTGTGTTTTATGAATATTCATCAGCTGTGTAAATATAAAGCCAAAAAGTAAAACTGTCTTCCACTTATGGTGTTAACGCTGAAAGTGCACGGCGTCGTCGACATGATCGGCGACGGCGACGGCAGACGCAGGTGATGGCAATATGTACAGACACATATGTGTCTGTACATAAAAATAATTTTTCAGATATCAGGCATAGTGTCCCAAACTTTTTGCTTTAAATGTTAAATAACAAACTAATTATTTGATAAAGATGCCATGAGAATGAATCATTTCCATAGCCTGAAATCAAAATATCAGATAACCATTACATGTTTAAAAGATAAGTAATAGTCTAGTCTCCATGTAAAGAAAATACGGATGACGTAAAAAGCATATATAAAACGCATATATCATACACTGAGTGAGAATGAAGCAAGAATACCTCTAGATTTCAACATATAGCAAATGTAATTAACTTACTGCCTTCTGTGGTCCTTACAAAATATTCATCACTGTCTGCTCCACAGCCACTCTTCGTGCAGGCACTCACCTATTCCAATCATTAAAATTTCAAAAAGATTCATCAAAAACAATTCCTTAAAAATATAAACAAGTTAAAGCATTGAGGAACGCATGTCTACGTTAGATCCATGCTCCAAATGGACACCTCACATAGGGTTTCAGTACCTACATAGACACCAACACCTTGTTTACTATAGGTTTTAGCTAGAATTAACCAGTACAGAGGGAATTATTTTGACTTTAATCTTTCTCTTCTCTTTTTAAATGTCTTGTCTAATTCTCTAAAAGATGTACTTCATTAGGTTTTGCATTAGGCTGTATTATAATGCCAGGCATTTTAATGGGAATTTCAAGGATTTAAATTGGGTCCTTTAATGGTAATAACCCTGGCTACTGAAAAGAAGGCAAGGCCTAGGGAGTTGAAAGTATTTGCATACATTTACTGAAACAGAAAAATGATAATGTAATTTCTCACTATAAAACATCACATAATACAATGAACTTTTTAATGTGGGGAAAATAGTGGATTCTACAGATGCTATAATTTTTAAGTCATAATTTCTTAAAATTAAATTATTCCTATTGAGCAGTTGCAACAAAAAAGCAAACAACTCTACACAGTAAAAGCATCACATAATGCTATATAGAAATATAATTTTTCTGATTATAAAATTATGTGTGAGTAAGTTTGATAATTCAGGCCCATTGAAAAGATAAAGTCATTACTGTATTCATTTTAGAACAATGTTTTACCTTTACAACATAATCTGTATCTGCTTGCAGTCCTTTATGTATCCAGTAAATATCAGTGCAACTATCACAGTTTATGGGAGCTGAGAAGGTATTAGCATTCTTCTGCTTGTATTTTATCTCATAGCGGGTTATGACCCCGTGTGGTGGACAAGGGACCTTCCATTGGATTTCTATGGCAGTGGTATTGCTGTTGGTTCTGATATCCGTGATCTTAGGTGGAACTTTGAAAACAGAGATACATATATATATGCAAACTTTCTTGAAACATAATCAACAACATTTATAACTGCACATTCTCAAATGAAACCAAAGTGCAGTAAATATCAAATCAACATTAAAATAATGTACACTTTATATTACCAATACGCATGATAATTCTTCAAAATAAGAAATCTATATTAACATAAAACTTACCATCTTCTAATGTTTTTACTGGGATCTCGCTGCTCCAGGGTCCAACCCCTTGATTGTTTTTAGCTCGCACACGGAATGCATAACTGGTAAATGGCACTAACTTATGAATGGTCACTGAGAGAGAACTTGTATAATTATCCATAGTTCCATAGACACAGTCAGAGTCATTTGCAGGTCTAATGCTATAGTCGTATCCAATGATACGTCCATTTTGACAATCACATGGGAGTTCAGCCCACCTCATGGTAACAGATCTTTTCGTGTGGTTAGCAGTTGGACTAAGAGCACATGAAGGAGCTAGAACATAAATATTTACAGTGTAAAATGGATTGCACATTTTATGAAAATTATACTCCATTTTTTTAAGGAATCTTGATCTTAACAAAATTACTTACTTTATCAAAAGTACATCAATAACATTGCTGTTAAATCATGACCAGACATGGCAAAACTGTTAGAAGCTGTGACATTAAAATATTCTTAAAATGATGTACAAGGTAAAGTTGTAATATCAAATGAAAGCAATCTTCAAAATGATTACAGATTTTTAATAACTATAATCAATACATTGTGAAAATCAAAACTTACCCACTGCAAGTGTTTGGGGCATGACTGAATTTCTATCCCCATTAATGTTTTTTGACAAATTGATGACATATTCAGAAAATGGTAGCAATTTCCTTATTTCAAAAGTTGTCTTTTCTGTAGATTCTTCAATTCATTCTCCATTTTGTTTCTGACAAGTCCCTAATTATGCACAATAATCTAATTGTGCAACAGTACACATCCATTCCACATTACAGGAAATCTGTATCAATATAATATTTTAGATCAAATTTATCAAAACATTTCAATCATTTCTGCAACAACAATGTAAATTCCTACCTGCTTCTAAAGTCTTGATTTGTAGCGATTGTGGATCCCCCTCAAGTGCTCCAGAAACCGCTTTAATAGATATATCATACTGTGAATTTGGATATAATTTTGTAAATGTGTAATGTGTTGTTATTTCACTCAATAATGTAAATGTCTGGTGATCTGACAATTGACTGCACTCCTCCTGTAACCTGAATGCTGTAATATTGTACCCTGTTATATTACAGCCAGTGAATCTAGGGGGGCTCCAATGAATGGTGGCTGACATGGGAGTAATGGAGCCTTTTGTCAGTGAGGTAACTTGTGCAACAACTGAAATGGAAAGAAATGGAAATTTCTTGATTTCTATTTACTTATCATAGGACCCTACTATACAAATCTAAAGGGATGACAACTTAATTTTGACCAAAAATGGCAATTTTCCCATATTTACAAATTGTTATTGAATCTGTTCTAATATTAAAATTAAGTCTCTGTTCTTTTTAAGCTTATTCTTTTTTGTAATAATCTCTTAATTCTCAATCACCAGAGCATTGAATCTACATTCTAAACTACCAAATAAACAAAAACGTTTTGTTAACAAACCTGTAGAAGTTGTTATGGTGTTTCCCTTTGAAAAGCCAGAATTGTCCTTTTTATTTACAAGCTTTATTCGGATATTCCAGTCTGTGCAGGCAGCAGTGTCAAAGTCTCTGTATGTTGCATTGGCTGCAACAGTTTGTGTTACCTCATTAGCATCAGTTCCATTCTTATACCTAATTCTAATCTCTCTTCTATCCTGGCACTTCCAATTTTGATCAGTTATTTTCTTAAAAAAGCAAAATATTAAACATATCACATATAATTTAAATTCTTAAACTTTAATTTAGAAGGACCATATAACATAATTACAACACTTCTTCAGTTTGCTACTAAGATAACTGTAGCTGAATTTTTTTCAAAGACTAAAATTTTCATTCTTGACACACTGCAGCATTCTTTTGATATGAATTCAGTAGTATCTAAACTCACATTCCAAGTAACCCTGATAACTCTTCTATTAGACTCTGAAACCTCTCGTATATGGAACTGGCTGGAATTAAATCTATGAGGCTCTGAAAGTAATATGGAAAGGGAAAGCTTTAAAAAATTTAGTGAAATGATACTTTATGTAAATATATATCAATAATTAAATATATAAAAATATATAAATATATAATGCTCAGAAATGTATGGATTAATAAATAAACTTACTGTCACACATTGTTTTAACTCGAGTGGTTTCATCCTCCAAAAAGGGGCCAAGTTGATTATCATCTTGTCTTATCCTCACCCTCACCAGGTACACCATATCAGGCAGCAAGTTAAAAACAGTGACCTCACACTTGGTATTACAATCTTCTCCACTCTTGTCTATTGATTGCCATGTATCACCAAGTAGTTCAGCATATTCTAATACATACTGGATTCCTGGCACACCAGATTGATTACATGTTGTGGTATTCCAACTAACTGTGAGACTAGTAGCTGTTGATGTGGCTGAAGGTTTCTCCCCAAGTGTACCTTATAGAAAAAGTTCTTGTCACAGCTTGCAAACAGCAAGAATTAATATCCTTGTTTAGCACTCTAATTTTGGAGGCAAAACATTCCATGATCTTATGATCTGATAAATTAGCTTTTTTTATTCTTAACTGAATCAGACAAAATGTTTGTAATTTCCTACGTCATTTTTTGCCAGTGGTTTAAAATTATCTAGTTTTTTTTTTTTTTTTTACGAAACTGCATATGATTTGATTTAAAAAGACTCATATAGGTAGCAAGTTTAAGACTTTACTCCTCCATGAGCAAAAATACTCCAGAATGAGCTCTCTTACTTCAACCCCTTTATCAGCTTTTGTCTGTACCAATCATTTTCTTCTTCTTCATTTTAAAATTATAACTATCAAAGTCTTAATATGAAACACATTATAAATAACCTATCACACATCTGAAAGTGACTGAAAATGGGACTGCAATCTGCTTGTACTTACAGTCCTGGCAGCCTGTTCCTCCCCATCCCACTGAGCATCCACTTGAACAAGCACCTGTTTCCTTATTACACACCTCACTGCTGTCTCTACATCTACAGTCCTTGTCACAGTTGTTCTGGCCATCAAAGCGGTAGTCAGGACACTCTGAATGATTTAAGAGAGAAGTTCATTTTAATTTTGAAATTATAGAGTAGAGCAATACAGGCAAACATGTTCATTAGCTTGGCAGTTGGATCATATATGATAATTATAGAACATAAGCAGAAATATTTTCATACAACTAGCTTATGGCAAATTATAAGTATCATATATACATACAAAATTGTTTTACACTTGGGTATATTCATGATCACATCTTATACCAGTATACCTGAATGAAAACACGTGCGCATGCACACACACACACACACACACACACATACACACACACACACACACACACACACACACACACACACACACACACACACACACACACACACACACACACACACACACACACACA